TCCTTCCCTCCTTCCCTCCTTCCCTCCCTCCACGCGCTCCTCCACGACCAAACGCCTCCCGCCAGGCCGCTTTGCGCCGTGTGCTCCCACTCACCCGGTACCGGGGATGCGAGCCCATGGCCATGGCCACGCGGGCGTACTGGCTGATGGGTCTCTTGTAGCCCACGGCAGACGTCGGCCTCTTCTTCATTTGGTTGCTGTTTCTGAAAGCCAAGTGCRGAGAGAGGAACACGGGTTAGAAAGCAAGAGCAGCTTACACCCACTTCCCCTTGTCCAGTGAGAAGAGCTTGGCCCCTTCTTCCCTGCATTCTCCCTTTGTGTCACCGGGGGTGTCCGGGTGACACGAGCGGTGCCGGGAGCGAGCCTTCCTCCCCGACGTACCCGCCAGCAGGCACAAGCGGCTGGAACTTCCACTGGTCCTCCTCACAGTCGAAGTACAGGCGATTCATGATCTTGTTCTTCTCCTCCGGCGGGATGAAGTTCTCGATGATCAAGTACCTGAGCGAGGAAGGTGTCAGCAGAGGGCAGGGGCACGGCGGGAAAGAGCAGGAAAGGAAGGGGTTAACGTGGCGAAGATGAGAAAATGGGAGCCCAGGGAGCAGGAGGAAGCGGAAAGGAAGGGGAGGGATGGTCAGGAAGAGAGGGACACGTGCGGGGAAGCAGAGAAGCTGGGAGAAGGGAACGGAGCGCAGGGTGGATGGGAGATGGGAGGGCAGGAGGAGGAGGGTGAGGGAATAGATCCAGCGGGAGGAAGCGCGGGAGAGGGAGCCCCCCCTTCCCCAGCGCCCTTCCCGGCATTCCCGCAGCGACTCCCGCCAGCTCCGCTCCCCATCTTAGCCCGGCCTAACTGTCCGGCCGAGCGGGGCCCATCCGCGCCGCCCCGGGATAGATACCGGCTGCTAAATACCCCCGCTCCTCCCCTGGGAGCAAAGCCGTCTTAATCCCGGCCTGCTCGCCGAGCGAGTCACGGAAAGGGGATCGGGCAGGGCCAGAATCAGAGCGAGCTGCTGAATCCAGGCCAAGAAGCCCCCCGGCAGCCCCGGGCCAGCACTGTCAGCCTCCATAAGAGCATTTTCTCTGCGCCCCAGATTGCTCTTTTTGCCTTTTTTGTTGTTGTTGTTGTTTGTTTCCTTTTTTT